TGGCGGGGCTGCCGGCGGGCGCGCGAGAGCGCGGCGGGGAGGGCGCGCGAGCCGCTGCCGCTGCTGCCGGGGGCGCTAGGAGCGGGGCGGAGGGTGGGCGGGCAGCGGAGTCCGCGCTGAGGCATCGCGCGGCGGCTTTGGCGCTCGGGGAAAGGGCTGGCCGCGCGCGCGGGGGCGCGCCTCTGCGAGCGAAGGAGAGGCCCGCGCGGCGATGGCTGGGCGGGCGGGCGCGCGCTGGGGGTCGCGCACGCACTCACCCGCCTCCTCCTGGCACGGGGAGGGGGCGCGCTGGGGCGAGTGTGTGTGCCTATCTATATGTAAATAATCGTCACACAAAAAGGGAGAGGGGGAGAGGGGCGAGAAGCAGAGCCGGTGGGGAAAGCCCGGATGTTCGATACAAAGGGAGCGGGGAAGGCGGGGGCATGGAGGCGGGCCCGGGGAAGGGTCCTGGAGGATGCCTGGACGGTGACTGGAGGGAGGCGGCTGCTCGTCAAGGCGCGCGAGGAGGCCGGGCCTGGCGGAAGCGTGAGGCGAGCGAAAGCCCGTGGCTGGCGGGCGGGCGGGCGCGGGAGAGGCGGCGGAGCCGGTCCGCTGTGCGCGAGGCTCGCCGGGGAGCGGCTCCGCGCGCGCGCCTTCCTCGGGGCCGGGCTGCCCGGCACATGCCTCCCGGGCTGGCCTCCGGGGCCCGCGCTCGCAGGCGCGCCGCAGCGCTCTGGCGCCAGGCCACGTGGGGTTGCGCACACCCGCGCGCCCGCGCGCCCGCCCGCGGCTTGGGGTGCACCGTGCGCCGGGGACGGTTTGCAGTACAGTCCTGGGCAGCTTTTGTAAGGCCTGCAGCCGGCCTTAAGTGATCTGAAGCGCGGGCTTGCGTCCGCCGCACCGTCTTCACCCTGCCTGAAAAATGCGCAGAATCCTGAGCGTCGCCTTCAGGTCCGCCTTGCGACTCTCCCAGCACTGGAATGCCGGGCTCCGTCTGCTCCGGACGGATGATGTTGCCGCCGGGAACTGTGGCTCAGTCAGCCTGGGGCCTCCAGATGCCCTGGGCTCCAACGCCCAAAGCCCCCCAGCCAGCTGTGCTCACCAGTTTGGGACAGACCGCTGTAGAGTGTGGGAGCGCCAGTACACTTGTGTTGATCCGGTGTGATGGTGAGAGTGCCGGGCTGAAGTCCTGGAAGATCCGGGTTCTAGTCCCCATTCAGCCATAAAGCTCACTGGGTGACTTGGCAGCAATTGCTCTCGATCGAACCCACCTCACAGGGTTGTTGTGAGAATAAAATGAGTGGAGGAGGGTTCCTTACAAGAGGAAAGAAGGTGGGGTATAAAAGCAGTGGTTAGCAGATGGAGAGACCTGTCCCACATACATTCAGTACAGCCCTTTCTGAAGTAGTTCTGTCATTTTAGCTTCTGGACTTGGTCATGTGTCTTGACTTTCTTCCGCAAATGGCAAGACAGGTTTGGGGCCCCTGCTGTTACTCTGCTAAATGGGGTGCTGCTCTATTGTCTAACTCCTGCCCTGGTGAATGCCTTCTGGAAAGCCCAGATGGCACTCCTTCCAGCAGCGCCTGCCTGTCTCACTGTTGGCCTTTCCAGAGAGTGGGAACGTGGCAGATCATTGCTTAAAATCCAGATGATGCTTTTCCAGGAATTGCTTCCATTCTTCAAGGAAATTTTTATTATACTTTTATTGTCTGTTTTATGGACTGTGTAAACTGCCCAGGGAGCTTCAACTGTGGGGTGGTATAGACATGAAATTAATGATAAGAATGAGCATAAAAGCAATTTTATTGCATTTTCAACCAAACTGCTCTGCCAGGGTGCATGGGCAAACTACTTCAGGTGAACTTACTTGTTGTTTACTTGGAAAATAACAACTCCTCCTCGTAGGTTTGGATGGGAGTTCTCCCTCACATTGAGCTCTTCTGGGTAAATGAACTTTTGCATGTGCATTATATCAAGGTGCATCTAGGGAGCCATAGTCTAGCATTGCATGGTGCCTCCTTGGAGCCAGAGTTGCGGGGGCGGAAGCAGCGGTGAGCTGAGCTGCTAAGGTGAAGGTAGGATGGCTTAAAATGTGTGTGTGTGGGGGGGGTGAGTTCTTCCTGCTTCTCCTGGAGCCAAGGTAACAGGAAGAAAGGATTACCAGATTAAGCATGGAAAGGGTTAATGCAACCAATGCTGAACATGTGCAGAAATGACGTCGTTTAGTTACACACTGCATATGTTCCAAAGCTCACCATCAGTGCTGGACTTAACAGTGAATACGTAATGTGCCCATTCCAGGGTCAATAAAAAGTAAGCACCACAAATTTATTTATTTATTATTAAGTTTCTGTTCTGCTCAACAAGCAAGATTGGGCCCACATGCAGCCTATTCACCAAACTCAATGGCATCACTATATGTAACATGCAGAGCCTTGTAGGAAAATCCTAAAACGTTCTTGCAGTTGTTAACTGTTTATTAGAACAGTTTTCCAATATCATATTCCTGCCTCCATTGCTTCTGTTTTGGACTTCCTTTTCCCTTCTGCATATTCTGGATATTAAGAGTAAAGAGTTTTATGTCCATGAGGAAAAACATTAAGCAAACATCAGATAGAATAAGTTACATAGAAAAAGGTAAATCAAAATAAAGATGGTTCTGTCAAACACCTCTCTTAAAAACTGGAATCTAGCAAGCCGGTGTGGTGTGGTGTTTAGGGCACTGGACTGGGCACCTGGGAGACCCGGGTTCAAACCTGACGCTCACTGAGTGGCTTTGAGTCAGGTCCTCACAGCTGAATCTACTTCACAGGGTTGTTGTGGGGATAAAATGGACTTCCATAACTTGTGTTGCGTTTCTCACAAGAGGAAAAGGGTGGATATCAATGCATTGTAATATGAATAATATGTAGCCTAAAGAGGAGGCAGTGTTGAGTGGATGAACATGTACATTTCCAAGTGGAATGAGTTGCAGAGCATACCTCCTCACGAGGAAACCAGGTGTTTCGCCAAGTCTTCTTCCATTCTTTGCAGGAGGAAGCACATCCAAGGGTTTCCCCTCCTGGGCAGAGGGTTCCTCTCCACCTTTCTGTACATTGGCACCACACAGTCCAAGGTGCCTCTGAGGTGGAGCACCATTTAGAATCTACACAAGGTTTCCCAATGGCGTCCAGGAAAAATACTGCATTATTCTTGCTCTCAAAAAAGCCACAGAATGGCTGGAAAATACAGGAGAGGATATTGGGTAAAGAACCTGGACATTTCTGGAAGGGAGGGATCATGAACTGAGTGCATAATACATGCCTAATGCAGAAAAACTCTTAAGTCCTTGGGACATGGCACATTCCCAGTGGATATTGGCGGGGGCCAAGAACAGGATAGGAGCTGATAGAGAACTTGCATAGAGCCACAGGGCGGGCGGGGGAGGGAGGGTCCTGCGTTTCCAGCTGTTGTGGTCAAGCTGACATCCTGGTCTTGTAATGACCTGACCAGGAAACCTTGTGAGCCGAGGCTGGAATTTAGGGGCCCCAAACGATGGGTGATGCAGGAGAACGGTGATGTTCTCTGTTGACGATTCCTTTTTCCTTTCAAAAGCTGCAGGAACCTCCAGCGCTGCAGCGTCATGAGAAGTTAAGGGTTAGTCTGCCCTTGGCCGCATGCTGCTTTCTGGCACCGGTCCTGGGTTGTGCTGAACCACCGCTTTCTCTTCCAGCACCACTCTTCTTCAAAACCAGAGCCCCTTCTGGCAGATTTCAAATGAGGGGGTCCATATTGGGAGATTCGATAACGGATTTCCTATGCTGCATATGGGGGGGGGGGTTCCCTGTTTTTGAATGAATGCTCAGTTTGAGCATCCGCTCCTGTAACTGACCACCCTGATGTTTCTGGACTGGCCAGGCTTGGCATCAGTACCAGAAGTTTCATCAACAAAGCAGCTTTTTCTCTTTGCTGCATTCATGGTCCCAGATGTGAAGGGCAGCTCAAATTCCCTGATGCCTTGAGCTTGCCGTGGGGGACTCCTCCAGCCATCCCAAATGGGGGATGAGCCCTTTTTCTCCCATTATTCGGAATGTAGCAGGACTTGGTGTTAGAGCCATTTCAGCACTGGTGGGGAGGGGGGAGCATTCCTTGGCATC